ATCAAGTCCTCCCAGTTCTTACATTTCATTCCCTTGAAAGTGAAGTGTTTTATTTGTCTTCCCTAATACTTGCTGAACTTGTATGCTTGCTTTTTGTCATTGAGAAATCAGCCTTTCTTCATTTAAATACTATTTAGCCCTTCTATTGTTTCCCGCCAAGGTACGTGACCTCACATTTTTGCACATTTTTTCCACCTGCCAAGTTTTTGCACACTTAATCTGCCTAGATCCCTAAATAGACGGTCATCCTCACCATTTGCTTCCCACCTATTTTTGTGTCATCAACACAATTGGCAATAGTACATTACTTTGTCTCAATCAAAGCATTATTATATATTGTAAATAATTGTGGCCCTTGCTCTGATTCCCATGGCACTCAATAAGTTGCAGGTTGTCATCCGGAAAATGTTCTCCTTATCCCTACTCTATTTCCTATTAGGTAGAGGTGCCAGTGTTGGACTGGGGTGGACAAGGTCAGAAATCACATGACACCAGGTTATATTCCAACAGGTTTATTTGAAAACACAAGCTTTTGGAGCCTCAGTCCTCCTTCAGGTGTTAGTGTGAGAGGTTGTATCGGGCACAGAATTTATAAGTAAAAGATCAAAGGTTTCCTATTTCCAATTAGTTTGCCAGTCATCTAGCTATGCTAATATGCCATCTTCAAAACCACAGGCTCATATCTTACTAAGTAGACTTATGTGCAGTATTTTCATTTAAATGCATTTTGGAGATTCAAATATACCACATCTCCTGATTTCCTCTTTATCTACCCTGCTTGTTACCTCGTCATAAATTCTAATAAATTTGTTGAGCTTGATTTTCCCTTTATGAAGTCATGCTGACTTTGCTTTGTTATTATTGTGTATTTCTAAATACTTTGCTATTACATCCTTCATAATAGACTCAAACATTTTTTCAGTGACAGATGTTAAGCTAACTAGTCTCTCGTAACGTGTTTTTAGCATCCTTTCCTGTTTGAATATGGATGTTATATTTGCAGTTTACCAATTCTTCAGGACTTTTCCAGAATCGAAGTCTTCTTTGATTCAACCACTGTCTCTGTAGCTACTTACTTTTATATCCTAAGATGCAACGCATCAGGTCTAGGGAACCTATCAACTTTAATTCCTAGTACTTTTTTTCTCTCGTGATTAGTTATTTAATCTCTTTCCCCTTGTGCTCCTTGATCAGTTTTGGAATGCTGTTAGTACCTTTTACCATGATGACTGATGCAAAATATTTCTTCAATTTCTCTATCATTTCCTTGTGCTTCATTATTATTTCCCAGCCTCATTCTGTAAAGCATGGTAAGGATGGAATTTGGAAAGCAAGTTGATGAGATCTTCCAGTTTGGGCATGAAAGTAGGAAATGGCAAAAAGAGGTGAGGGAGGAATTTGGACTGGAACCCAGAATATTTGCCATCTCCTGGTAAAAAGGTATCTACAGCTGGACTTGTAAAGGCTCCCGTAGCAACATCTTCTGCTTGAATAAAAGGAGAAGTTGCCTTAATGAATGAACAAATTCAGCCAGGCATAGAAGAGTTATTATAGATATTGCTTGGTTGGATATCCATTCAAGAAAGAGGCAGGGCAGTTTTTAGAGCCAGGAACTTATTAAAGTACAACATGCCAACAGAAGATTCATGAATGTAAAGTTTTAAAAGGTAGATCTCTGAGGCGAAGAGCAAATTGAAATAATGGGTCGACTGGGGCAGTGCCATTTGTGAATGTTGGAATGAAAGTAGAAGCAGGTTTTATGAAGATGGGGGCTCAATAATATTGAAGACCTTGGAGAAATGATTTCCAGAGGAGCTGTACGTAACTGTTAAGTCTACACGACGCTTAGAAAATGTTTCAGAATTATTCCATGCGGCAGCCTTGCATGTATCAGTTAAAATTTGACTGATATCCAAGAAGTAATCATAGCAATACACTCAAGCCATTACAGCACAGGACACCATTTAACCCACTGAATACATGCCAGCTGTCTGTACAGCTAGCCATTCTGTGCCATTACCAATTTGTTTAAGAACATCTTTCTTGGATGCTGCAAACCATGTCATGAGGGTATTGAAAGGAACATGGAAGTAGGATAGTTAGCCACTCCGTCCTATTCCGTCATTCAAACAGACCCTGGCTGATATGCATTCTGACTCTATGTATCTGCTTTTGCCCCATATCTTGAAATTTGACTAACAGAAATCTGTTAATCTACTAATAAGACATTTATTCCCACTTTTCCTGGTCTGCCAGGTTTACTTTGGATGTCAAGGCAGTTCTAACAAAAGAATATGCACAAGTACAAAAGAAAACTACAAAAATCTTGCCCATACTGTGCTTACAATCACAAGTGAATGCTTTTATCTGGACTTGTCTGAAGATTAGATGAGAACAGGTGATCAGCCTGATCTGTCCCAACTTCTCGCTGCTGATCATATGACCTCCACTCCCAGAGCCAACTACTTGTGCAGTAGGGCAAGATGTGTTTTTTTAAATACTCTTTCCATTCAAAGAAGCTGCACCTCCAGCAAATGATTAGTTTGACCATTGGTAAACATCACAAGCACTTCAACTATCATGACCACTTTAATCAATTAAATCATAAGGACTTACTTGTGTCTCTTTGCAAAGAAGCTTATTGCTTTTAATAAACCTTGAACTTAGCTTTAGCTTGTGTTCGCTTTTACATCTAATCAAATTGTATGATATTTACACAGTGCAGTTGTCTTGTGATCACAGATTCAGCTGATGAATAATCCACGTTATTATCTCTAATTAACTGTGTCTGTTTTTAAACAAGACTTCAGCTTTTTCAGAGTTATTGTGACAGTTCAATCCATTTCAGCTGAGTTACAATGCTTGATGTAAACAAATACACATTCTTTTAGCAAAGCAAAGCACAACACTTTAAAACCAGGAACTTTTCAAATCATGAAGTCATCACCAGGCTTTGTATGTTTTCTCCTCACTCAATTTCACTTACTTCATTTTGGATAACTCAGTCAGTAAATTTTAGATTAATATCAACAAATGTTATATTTAAAATAAATAATTGATGCAATAGCAACTGTTGAGTAAAAGATTCCACTGTTTGATTACTCTTACCATGTAAGAGGCACTTCTCGACTTTGTTCCTGAAAGACCATTCTTCATTTTGTAGGTTATGTTCCGTAGTCCTACATTGTCTCATGTGCTCTCTGACTACCCTATCAGGCCATCCTTAATATTCGTATAATGTTGTTGGGTTGGAGTTCTCGGTTGATGAAGAAGTCCTAGTGAGTTATTGCAGTTACCTGTCATGTAGAAAGTGCATATTGCATAGAGTGTCATTGAGCACGGAAACAGACCCTTTGATCCAACCAGTCCATGCTGAACATAATCCCAAACTAAACACTCTCCCCTGCCTGCTCCTGGCCCATATCCCTCCAAGCCTTTCCTATTCACGTACTTATCCAAATGTCTTTTAAATGTTGCAATTGTATCCACATCCTCAGTAAGTTCATTCCACACATGAACCACCCTCTCTGTTTTAAAAAAAATTGTCATGTTAAATCTCTCTCCTCTCACCTTGAAAATGTGCCCCCAGTCTTTAAATCCCCCATCCAGGGGAAAAGGCAACTACTATTAATTCTAACTCTACACCTCATTACTTTATAAACTTTTATAATGTCGCCTGTCAATCTCCTACGCTCAAGTAAAAAAAGGTCTCCAGCCTTTCTTTATAACTCAAACCTTCCATACCTGGCAACATCCTGGTAAATCCCTTCTGAACCCTGTCCAGCCTGATGTCCTTTGCTAAAATTGGGTGACCAGAACTGGACACAATATTCCAGAAGAAGCCTCACCAATGTCCTGTGCAACCTCAACATGACTTCCGAACTCCTGCACTCGAAGGACTGAGTAATGAGGGCAAGTGTGCCAAACGCCTTTTTAACCATCCTGCCTGTATGTGATGCTTACATGGCAGATCAGAAAAGCCATTTAATTATAATTGAAGACAAATTAAAGACTACTTTCTCAACTAAGTGCATACTTCATAATCCTGAAATTCAAGCCATGAATTATTTAGTGCAAATCTCTATTGGTTATTCTGAAGAAATTGTTTTGGTCTTCCAAAATATGAATCGGTACCACATCCAGTGTGGCAGTCTTTCAGCCTGGCGTGGCCTCACCATGGACTAATGGTCTCAAGGTGGTTCCTCGAAGTGTGATCCCACCATGGCTAAGCACTTAAGAAAGACTGTAATGTTTGAACTGTCAGCTTTATTTCTTTATTCTCTACTTAAAACTAAGAAGATCTGTAACTTTTAACCATATTTTATAGGGTTTACACAATGCTATAATTGCTGTAATGTTTAACTTTTAACTTTGTTCTTTCTTTCTATCTTGTTCTTAAGATTCTGTACCTCGGTACTTGTACTTACAATGGCACTTATCACTGTACTCCTGTACTTTTTACTTGAGTACATGTGATATAAAAAATCAAAGGAGAAACAATATTAGTCATGTATTTTTTCTGTGTTGCTCACAATATATTTTGAAGCAACTTTATTATAAACCATACTTTGAGGGGGAAAAAAAACTTTCTGCATGTCTGTACTGTTCCACATTGTACAATCTAAAGAAAGGAAACAAACCTTTGAGACAGATTTTACACTGTTTATGTTGTATTACATGATGATATTATGTCTGTCTAATTCTGTTTTAAAGCTATTATTCATTTCAGGATGCTTCACTCACCTAAATACAAAAGTTCCATTTTAGCAGGTTTCTGTCATTTTACAGGTAGCTTTGTGTTCTCTCATTTTGAGTTCTCTCATTTTGTGTTACTTGCATTCCTACTTGAAAAATTAACAGTTAAACTGCCCAGTTCTTTGTTTCAATTTGGTTTCCAGTAAGCAAATGATAAGAAAAATTGACTTTTTAATAACTTCAAGAGTAATTAGTTGCATTTTCTACAGCTTATGAATATAATTAACACTGTTCTTTTTGTCTAGCCTGTGATGAATGGACAATACTTCCAAAACCCAATTTGCATCGTGACCTCAATAGATTCGGACACTCAGCAGTTGTAAGCAATGGGTGAGTCCATTATTTCCTCTGTGTCTATTGTCTATTTTCTCATTCCATTTATCTCGGTGGTCAAAGAAACTTTTCTTTATTGCACTATTATCCTTCCTGGCATTTGTCGATGATCGACTAAAGTTTGGCATTCTTTTCTCCAATTAGCAATGTGAATGATGGAAAAGTGCATTAATTTAGGAACAGAAATCTTTAGACCAGCTTTTACATGCTATTTTTTTCATGTTATGTTTGCCTGACCTTTTTAAAAATGCGTTTTCTGCCCTTAATTTGAAAACAGTGCTTGTTCTTTGGCTGAGAGGGTATTGGAGAATGTACTTGCATGCTCTTAGTGCTGCCAGTGCTGAACCAGACAAATTCAACACACTTCATTCCTCGTGAGCGATGTTGCTGAACTTAGTTTGTACCTCCTCCTTGAACTGATAACCCGTGTTGGGAAATGTAGTAACCACCTGTGTCTTATTACTTTGTATGCTAGTGCTATCCTGTTTTAGTACCTGCTATAGACATTGCGAAATAAGTTTTTACGTACTTATGAATAATGCTTTTCTCCTCTTCTTCAAGATCTATGTATGTGTTTGGCGGTTTCTCCAGTATGCTTTTGAATGATGTCCTCGTATACAAACCTTCAAGCTGTGAAGCCTTCAGTGAAGATCTTTGTTTGAATGCTGGTCCAGGTGTTAGATGTTTGTGGCACAAGCATCATTGTGTTCCGTGGGAACTGGGCCAAAGTAATAGTAGCTTCCATGAGGTGAAATGTCCCCTCAAAACCAGTAAGTACTGATAACACGTGAATATCAACTTAGACTAGAATTTTTCAGTCCTTAAGCAGGCTCCTTCCTTACAGTGAATCAGAACTGTTACAATAATTTAGGGAATAGTAGAAGTATGGCATGTAAATTAATCTATAATTCTTGTTTTGTCCATTTTATCTTGTGTATGACAAACATGGCTAGCTTTAACTCGCATTTTTTTAACTGGCTGTACTGAGGAATATGATTTCGCAAAACGATGTTGGCGTTGAAGTGTATATATCAAATATCCTGTTGTAGTACAATATGCTACTGTGGAATGGAAGTCATTAAATTAGTAGTTGTTAAAAATCTGCTAGTACTAGTAGTATCCTTAAGACTTTGAATATTATTAAGCTAGAAGGGGTTCAGAAGAGATTTGCTAGGCTGTTGCTTGGTATGGAAGGTTTGAGTTATAAACAAAGGCTGAATAGACTGGGACTTTTTTCACTGGAGTGTAGGCGGTTGAGAGGTGACCTTATGGAAGTTTATAAAATACTGAGAGGTATAGATAGAGTTAATGGTAGTTGTTGGGGGATGGGGGATTTCAAGACTCGAGGCAATTATAAAGCTTAAAACAAAAAAGAATGTGATATAGAATCAACAATGTGGTTCAAGTAAGAACAGTGAGTTTCACAAATTCTGAGGTGTCATGTAAACAAAGCTTGAAAACATATTGCCCTTTAGCATAATACCAGATGTTAATGGCAGAGTTAGTCCTTCAGTCCCTTGAATCTACTCCATGATTTGATAAAACCATGCTTAATCTGACTCTGGCTTCCTGTTTACCTCGTCAGTCAAGAATCTGTCTACCTCAGCTTGAAAAATATTCAATGACTGTGCCTCTGTTGTTCTTTAGGAGCAGAATTCCAGAGACTAATGATGAGAAAAATAAATCTCTTCATCTACATTTTATGGCAAGCACCATATTCTTAAACTCTGGGTCTCCTTGTTTTAGTCTGTTCCATAAAGGGATGCATCTTTCAGTACCACCTGTCAAGCTCACTCAGAGGCTTGTATGTTTCAATGAGATCAACCTTTCATACTTCTAAACTCTAACAGATATAATATTACGAGACTTCAACTTCATCCCAAAAATCAGTTGAGCGAACCTTTTTGCAGTTTCCAATGCAATTGTATCCAAAATTGTGCACAGTACTTTGTTTTGAGCACAGTGATGGGGCCGCACAATGCACTGAAGTGCTCTCAATGAGGATGGAGCTTTACCTCCACAAAGAATGTGCAGGGTTCACTCTTACCAATACTGTCAAGGGTAGATGTATTCATGACAAGTAGATTTGAGGGAACAGACCCAACCCAGTCTAGCAGATATTTCCATCTGGACTTAACCAACTTTCTCACAAGTGGGGTTAGTGAACCACTTTTTGGTGAGGGGTGGGGGTGGGGTCTCCATCCAGGGTAGATTTCCATACTAATTCCATGTGGTATTTAATAAGGTGGTGTACTGATACATTAGCTGAGAGAAGGTGGTGGATGGTAATTAGCAGACTGTGTTTCCTTGTTCATATTTGAACTAGTGCCATGAAATTTTTTGGGTCTGAAATCAGTGTTTCCAGGCCACAGTCTCCCAAATGTATCCTGTTTAACCACCACTGGTGAATCCACCCAACCACCAGGACAAGATATTCCATGGATGGTGGCAGAGGAGTCTGGAACTTGCTGAGACTCAAAAGCACATCTTTTAGCCAATGTCAGATTATTCCTTAACAATTCTATGGGTAAGCTGTTCCAAATGTGATGCAAGTCTCCAGTTGCTAATGAGAACTTTGCATGCTTAATTGGGTGCCTTTGTACCATCTGTATCTGTTTCAATGCTGGATGGTTGTTTTGATTTTGGGTTTCTTACCTGTCTTCATAATTGTCTTGCTAGGCCATTTCAGAGGGTAGTTAACACTCAATCACATTGCTTTAGATTCACACTGTGTAAGGATAACATCTGAATTATAAGTACAATACCACTACCACTATTTTACCATACCTAAAATAAAAACCAAGTATAAGAGAATCTGAGATAACAAGGTGTAGAGCTGGATGAACACAGCAGGCCAAGCAGGATCATAGGAGCAGGAAGGCTGACGTTTCGGGCCTAGACCTTTCTTCCTGCTCCTATGATGCTGCTTGGCCTGCTGTGTTCATCCAGCTCTACACCTTGTTATCCCAGATTCTCCAGCATCTGCAGTTCCTACTATCTCTGAAACAAGAGAAACTCAGCAGGTTTGGCACTATCTCTGATAAGAGTTATGAAAATTAAGGTTTCAAGTCCAATATGACTTCTTCAGAACTGGATAAATGATGGGTGTATGCCACTGGCATCTCTGTGTATCCTACATAAAGATGCCCTGATCCCCAGCCTCTTGTCAACAGATCTGTACTGACTGGCATGACAAGTAGCCTGTCTGTGTCTGCATAAATGAACACGTCAGTACAGCAGTATTGATGGCTTTTTGGCTCTGGCTGAAGTGTTAAGAGGCATGGTAGGCAAGGTAAGTCAAGACTTGGATTCTGCAACTATGATGGTAATTGCTCACCAAGTGAGCATTAAAGACAGCAAGTGAGCAGCCCTGAGATGAGATGGATTGTTCTGTGAGCTGGGTGCTTGTTCCAAAGCACGCAGTATTCCTACTGCAACCTTTCAATGCTAGTTGCTGGTGTGCGTTACAGTGCAAGTCTGTACTTTCTAAGCACCTTTCAAGTGGATCAGAGAAGTGCCATAATGATCATAAGTTTGCAAAAACCAGATGCCAGTTGTACGTGGATGAGAGTTGAATGTAGCTGGTGCCTGTGGATCATGCTCTGAATTGGTTTGTGCTGACCAACATGGGAGTCTGTTTGTAGCCAGTGGTGAGCTAAGCTGCTAGATATCCTCTCTGATTTCCATGTCAAGATTTCTCGACATCCAGCTTGTTCAGCCTGTTTGGTAAGATGGGAAGCTGAATATTAATTAGGCGAGTGTGGCATTAACAAGTCATTTACCGAACAATGATCCATTTAATTGGCAATTTACTGCCTGATGAGAAATTTGCTTTGCTGCTCAGCAAAAGTATAATGTTCCTGATGTCATGGTAGATCTGGATTTCTCATCCGATTCTGCCACAAAAGTTGCTATATCCCATTTTGTTCAGACTTCTAAGATTCTACCCCATGCACTCAAGTCCCACCATGACAACTGGGACATTTAAACTTAGATACTTAAATAAATCTGGAATAAAAAGATAGGACCACTAATGATCCCCATTCCACCACCAGATTACCTACAAACCCATCTGGTTCTCTTATGTTGTATAATAGAAGGAAATCTGCCCTTGCCTCGTCTGCAACTCCAAATTCAGAGTAATGTGGTTGGCTGTTAACTAGTCTCTGAAATTGTATAGCGAACCACTTAGTCGTCAACAAGATGGTAAACACTGGTTTTCCCAACAATGCCCACATGCTGTGATTGAATAAGAAAAATGGGCCAATGTAGCAGATATCAAAGTACATTGCAAAAGAGCAGATTTGGTAACATGAACGTATGCAAAGGATCCATTTGAGAAAGAGTTATTCTGTAGTTTTGTTTTTCATTTTCCAGTTTACTTTACATTGAAACTATTCAACTCTGCAATAATGTTAACTACAACCTTGTCATATAAAGCCAGGATCAATGCTCTTAAAGTAAACATAGAAAATCAAGTTGAAATGCTGAGCGAAGTTATTGGAAACAATTGTGAAATTAGTAATTGTGATATTGACGACTGCAAATTTGTTAGTTGTTAGCTAGTATTCGTAAAGTTGTCCACCAGCTAAAGAGAGAACCTGTCAGTGACACTGCAGTTACAGCAAGAATGTCATCTGCTTGGATGAAACCTTTCTAAATTCAGTTCCTTTTCAGAAATTAATTTCTTCACTCATTTGTATTGCAGCGGCTACAGACGACAGATGTTTCAAATATACAGACTGTGGCAGCTGTACAGCCAATATGAATGGGTGTCAGTGGTGTGAGGATAAGAAATGCATTTCTATAACCAGCAACTGCTCTGTGGTAAGTTGAAGTAAAAGTTGGAATACCTATCGGATATCAATTTTCTGTGCAAACTGTCTTTTGATTCAGTGCTAGAGTCATTCAGCACAGAAATAGACCTTTCAGTCCAACTTGTCCATGCCAACCAAGTTTTCCCATTTGCCTGTGTTTAGCCCATATCTCTGTGAACCTTTCCTATTCATGTACCTGTCCAAATGTCTTTTAAATGTTCTAACTGTACCTGCATCTACCACTTCTCAGGCAGTTCATTCCACATACGAACCACTCTCTGTGAAAAAGTTCCCTTCAGGTCCCTTTTAAATCTTTCTCCTCTCATCTTAAAAATATGTCCCCTGGTTTTGAACTGCCCAACCCAGAGAAAAGATCCTATGCAATTCACCTTATCTGTGCCCCTCATGATTTTGCAAACCTCTACAAGGTCACCCATTAACCACCACCTCTCCAGGAAAAGAAGCCCCAGCCTATCCAGCCTCTCCATGTAACTCAAACCCTCAAGTCTTGGCAACATCCTTGTAACTTTTTTCTTAATCCTCTCCAATTTAATAATATCCTTCCTAAAGCAGGGCAACCAGAACTGTGTGCAGTAGTCCAAAAGTGGCCTCATCAACATCCTGTACAACCTCAGCATGATGTTCCAACTCCTAAAAATGGTGGTCTGAGCAATGAACATAAGCATACTAAACACAGTCTTAACACCCTCTATACATGCAGTGCAAATTTCAAAGAATTATGTACCTGAACCCCTGTATTGAATGTTTCAATTATATTTGAATTTTCAATCTTATTAAATAGCATAGTTTTCATTTGCTGCAAAGTGGTTTTGGCTTTAGATGAGTGAAAACTGAGCAGTTAATGCTGTTAGGAAGTCATCCAAGTATCCTTGAGTTGAATGTGTGAGATAACTATCAATAGGTTATCTCCTCTGGCTTGGATGTTGCAATGCTTAGCTGTCCTTGGACATAGCATGCTTCAGAAGACAGTGTACACTACTTCACTCCATACAGGTACCAGTCTGTTTCTTATTTGTAGTAATTCTTTAATGTAGTTTAGGTTAATTACTTCCTTTCATTTCAAAATAAAGGCACTGTCTTCTACTCTATCAGAGACTTTCCCTACTTTCCCACTTTCTACCTTGTTTAAAACCTATTATTAAGTTATAACGGAAAATCATTGTCCTGAAACAGTAACTCTGCTTCTAGCTACACAGATGCTGTCTGACCTGTTGAGTATTTCCAACTTTTTTGATGTTATCACATGAGATTTGTCAGATCATCCATTAATTCAACAGTATGCTTATTGCTGACAATAGGCATATGTATCTGTAATATTGATCTCTGATGAATTCAATGGCATAGTAAAAATATTATTCCACACAGTGAATTATGTGAATCAGTCCATTTAAAAAAAAAAAAGTCTTCAAATACAGTAAGTGCAATTTTTGTTCGTGCAGCAGTCATTTAACTTTTACTTCCCTATCTGGCAGAATAAGGCAGGAATGTATTTAACTGCATTAGTGGTTGATTTACAGTTATTTGAAAGGAATTATTGTATTTTGTTTCAAAAGTTTAATGGTCACATTCTGATTATTCTCCTAAGTGTGTTTTGACAATATTATTTGAGTTATTGGGGGAATTTGAAGGTGGTAGTACAATGCATTTGATTTCATACTGGTATTGTTTTCAATTTTTGTTCATTGTAATATAGTGAATATCTGTATATGCTTCTAAGTCAACCAGATAACACTGTTTAAGATGTGAGTTTGGAGGAGAAGTTCAACCAAATTTATTCAGAAAGGCAATACCAGTGGAACAAATGTGATAGACAGACCTATGCAATCCCACACTAACAGATCAAGTCTAAGCTCTGCAGTCCTGCCATATGCAGTCATAAATGATGGTGGACAGTTCAACATCTATCTGGAGGAGAAGGCTCCACAACCATTCCCATTCTGAATGATGGAGACCCCTGCATATTAGTGCAAAAGACAAGGCTGAAGTGTTTGCAAGTACCTTCAGCTAGTAGTGCCAAATGAATAGTCTATTCTCAGACTCCTCCTGAAGTCCCTGACATCACAGATACAAGTTTTTGGCCAACTGTATTCATTTTATTTAATATTGGGAAATGTGTGAAGACATTGGGATGCTGTAAAGATGATGATCCTGACAACTTTGTTAATTGTACACAATGCTGGCATCTGTCGGAAAATGTGGAAAGTTGCAGAAAATGATGGACAAATCTGAATTAGCAAATTTCAGCCAATTGCATTGTACTTATCATCTGCAGCATGTGTTATTGTTATCAACAATCACAACAAATGGCAGTTGCTCCAAAATAACCTGTTCATTATTGCTAAGTTTTGATTCTGCTAGGGCTGCTCAACTACGAACTTAATTCAGCCTTGTTCCATGCACTGATTAAAGAGCTGAACTCAGGAGGTGAGGTAAGGGTGATTGCCTTGACATCAATGAAACATTTGACCAATTGTGACATCAAGAAGCCCCAGTAAAACTGGAGACAACAGGAAAGGAGGATCTCATGGAGGTGAAGCCTTGCTCTTTGCCTTGAGGCCTCCAAGATGATCTTTCAGTCCATGGTTTGCTCCATCAAACAGGATGAGATGTGCTTGTGTTTCTTCCTGGAGAAGGTGACCAAGGAGAGCTCTGTGATCAACAGCCTGATGGAAGTAGATGGTTCAGAAATGTCATCTCAGTCTGACTTCCTGAGGATCAGTAAATCCTTTTATGCCATACTGTATGATATGAAGCCCATAGAGATCATGACCCCTCCAGTTGTTCCTGACCTCTATCATGGAAATCTTAGACGACAGCACATGGGAATGGCTAAGCCAATTATCATCTCTGGATGAGCTGACAAAGGCTTTTGAATCTTTTGAAAAGAATAAAACTCCTGGAAGTGGCAGCTTACTGGCCAAGTTGGATCCAGCTCCATGGGATTTGATTAGCCTGAAAATGTGGAAAGTTGCTCAAGGCTGTTCTCTCCACAAAAATGGGGGAGAAATTTGAATTGGCAAATTTCAGCCAATTGCATTGTAGTTTGCCTCTTGCAAGTAGCATGTGCAACTCCACGAGGAAAGGTATCATCACCCTTATCTGTCAGCAGAAGGGGGAGAGGGACAAAAATCGAAATTGGCAATTAAATTCGCTGTTGAATGTGGACTACAGAATATTGTCTAAGGTCATTGCCAACCAGGTCAGTTATGCTGTGGGATCGGTGGTTCACTCCAATCAAACATGTGCTGTACCAGGCACAAAGGTTGCCAAGAGCCTCGTGCTCCTCAGGGATACGATTGCCTACGTGCAAGACAAGGGGTGGACACCTACCTTATGAGCTTGGATGAAGAGAAGGCTTTTGAAAAAAATTCGTACACCTACTTGAGGGATGAAGGAGTCCCGTCTGTACGTGGATGAAATCACTGTTTGCTGCACTTACCCTTTGTTCTGGGGACCCAGGTTCGAATCCCACCACAGCAGATAATGGAATTTGAATTCAGTAAAAAATGTCTGGAATTAAGAATCTACTGAGGACCATGAAACTATTGTTGATTGTCAGAAAAAGCTATCTGGCTCACTGATATCCTTCAGGGAGGAAATCTGCCATCCTCACTTGGTCTGGCCTACATGTGACTCTAGACCAACAGCAATGTTATTGACTCTTAACTGCCCTCTGAAATGGCCCAGCAAGCCACTTGCATCAATCACTATGAAGTCTCGGAAAGAAATGAAATTGATGGACTATCTGGCATCGACCCAGGCTTCAGAAACAGCCCTGTCAACCCTGCGAAGTCCTCCTTACCAACATCTGGGGACAGGTACCAAAGTTGGGAGAGCTGTCTCACAGATTAGTGAAGAAACAGCTTGATGTAATCATACTCACAGAATCATACTTGACAGAACATGTCGTAGACTCCACCGTCGTAGACTCCACCATCACCAACCCTGGATATGTCCTGTCCCACTGGCAATTGAAATCCGGCGGAGGTGGTGGCCCAGTGGTATACAGTCAGGAGGGAGTTGCCTTCAGAGCCCTTAACGTTGACTCTGGACCACATGACGTCTCTCGGCTTCAGCTTAAACCCGGGCAAGGAAATCTGCTGCTGACCGCTATTTAGTGTCATCCTTCGGCTGATGAATCAGTACTTCTTTATGTTGAACAAACTTAAAGGAAGCGCTAAGGTTGGTAACGGCACAATATACACTCTAGACGGAGGATTTCAGTGTTCACCACGAAGTGTGGCTTAGCAGCAACTCTACTGATTGAGTTGTTCACGTCCTAAAAGACATAGCTGCTAGATTGGATCTGTGGCAGGTGGCGTGGAAGCCAACAAGAGAGAAAAACATACTTGACCTCATTCTTACCTGTCTGCAGGCGTCATATGCATCTGTCCATGACAGTATTGATAAGGGTGATTACTGCACCAGCAAGTCCCATCTTTACATTAAGAAAAACCTCCATCATGTGGTGTGGCACTATCACTGTGCTAATTGGGACAGACTTCAAACAGATGTAGCAACTCAACACGGCATCCATGAGCCTCTGTGAGCCATCAGCAGCAACAGAATTGTACTCCCCACAATCTGCAACCTCGTAGCTTGGTATATCCCCCACTCAATCATTTTGATCAAGCTAGGTGGTCAACCCTGGTTCAGTGGAGTATGCACAATGCCATGCGGCATTCCTAAATATGAGATGTCAGCCTGGTGAGGCTCCAAAACAGAACTACTTACATAAGCAGTAAGTGATAGACAGAGCTAACCAATCCGATCTAAGCTCTACAGTCTTGCCACATCCAGACGTGAATAGTAGTGGACAATGAAACAAATCTCTGCAGCAGGAGGTTTCACAAATATCCATATCCACATCCTCAATGATGGAGGAGCCCACCACATCAGTGTAAACAATAAGACTGAAGCATTCATAGCAACCTTCAGCTAGATGTGCTAAGTGATGATCCATCTCAGCCTCTGCCAGTAGTCCCCAGCATTACAGATGCCAGTCTTCAGCTAATTCCATTCACTGCATTTGATATTAAGAAATATTTAGAGATACTGTATACTGCAAAAGCTATGGGCACTGATAGCATACCAGCAATAATACTGATGACCTTTGCTTCAAAACTTGCCGCTTCCCTAGTCAAGCTGTTCCAGTACAGTTACAACACTGGCGTCAATCTGACAATATGAAAAATTGGCCAGGTATGTCCTGTATATAAACAGCAGAACTAGTCCAACCCAGCCAATTACAATCTCATCAGCTTACTCTCTATCATCAGTGAAATGCAGGAAGGTTTCACCAACTGTACATTCAAACAGCATCTGCTCAGCAATAATCTGCTCAATGATACCCAGTTTGGGTTCCACCAGGGCCACTCGGCTCTTGACCTCGTTACAGCCAATGTTCATACATGGACAAAAGAGCTGAATTCGAGAGGTGCGTTCAGAGTGACAGCCCTTGACATCAAGGCTGCATTCGGCCAAGTGTGGCATCAAGAAGCCCATGCAAAACTGATATCAGTGGCAAACTCTACTGGTTGGAGTCATACTTGGCACAAAGGAAGGTGGTTGTGTTTGTCGGAGGTATTTTAACGAGATGAATTTGCAGAGTGATGGGAAGACTTGGAATAGTGAGAGTAGATAGAAATTGTTTGAGGTAAAAAAGCTGACAAATGTGAGCTGGGAAGCCTTCGGCGCTGTAAACTTCTGTGGCAAGCAGTGTACATTGTAACACTTAAAAGTTATAAAAAATGTTTTAAGAGAAAAGTTGGTGTAATAATGGATCATCCGTTCAAAATTAGTGAATGTGATTTAGGTAGGCTATAACCAGCTTTGTCTTTACAAAGTCTTTACATCAGTTAAATTACAAACCTAGAATGTATGGCACAGAAACAGGACATTTAGTCTAACCTGTCCATACTTCAAGTTCTACTCAAATCTATCCTCGTTTTATTCTCAACTGAGTCTACCATTGTAAAAATCTTCCCTTCTTCCTCACGCATACACATCTAACCTCCCCTCAAACACATCGTTTGTCTTGATAGTCCTGCAATTTTAAACACACAGTTGTTTGAAACAACATATCTAAATTCGAATATAAACTTAAGTTGTAAAGAAAATTCTAACTCTGATAGTAACTTTGGCTTAGTAGTTTCATTACTCTGATTCAGTGAAATTGCTGGCAACTTCCAAAAGATTAAACTGAATTGTATTGAGTACATATGCATACTATTTAATACAATAGGCTTTTCAATTTACTTGGCTGTTTATTTCTAATTCTCCATTGTACACAACCCTACTCTCCCAGTTTCCTTTATTTTCCAAAAAGAAATTTTGCTGAAAATCCTGTGTAATTGTTATGGGATAGTATTCTCTAAAACAGTGGCCGGCAGGTTCAAACTCTTAGTGTGCCAGCCATCATTGCTCTACCAACGTTTTTGCTCTTAACCAACTTGGAGTGACTGGAAACAAATAAATCTCCATATCTTGGCCTAACACCTTGCCATCTTTCACTTTTATCAATAATACATTGATCCGATCCTTTTCTCTATGCTTCAATGGTATGATGTTTGAAATTAAGACCTTTGAAAGATCTAATCTATTCCGTCTGACATTTTAAAATCTTTTTCTCAAATTTGAACCACTTGTGTATAAATAAATTATATTTTAATATATGCAATTATTTATCAGTAATCAGTGTTAGATATTTCTTGAAAAGTTGCATGGGATGTTTTATGGAATAATTTTGCGAAACTCTGGTAAATATCCAATGGCAATTTTAACCATTTCTTTTCCTAGTCTGTAAGAAACAATACAAAATGTCGTGTACGGAATATGCACATTTGTAGCAAATTTACAAGTTGCAAGACCTGTTCAATGAAGCTTAACTGTCAGTGGGATGAGCGGAACCAAGAATGTCAAGCTCTGCCAGGTAAAGATCTGAACAGCCCATAGCGCATGATTTTTGCTGTAGGACCATTTTCTACTTGCGACATTCCAATAATATATGGCTTTTGGTGTTATCAGCTGCTAAATAACCAATTCTGCTAATTATTTCAAATTTTATCCTATAAAATAATTATTTCAAGCTCCTTAAAATTTTTTGTAATAAATTATTGTTAATTTGTTGTCCCCTTCATCGCGATATATGAAATATGATTATCAACCACAGTACCATTTAGTTAAAGATCTTCTGAAAAAGTGAAAGGTATGACTTTTTTTTTGCCTGCTGATGTTAATCATGTCTAATTTTTGGGTCAGATTTGATGGTTTTATTTGCTTTTCCTGCCTCAGAGTCAAGATCCTTCCATACTTCAAATTGTGGATGATCATATGATAAAGTAATCTTTCCAGAAAAGTTGTGGAGAAGGCAGCATGTTAAAGATATACAAACTTTCATCAACTTTAGAAAATGTAAAATGTTTTGAGAAATAAACTAATTCCTTGAGTTTAAATAAAAAAGCATTGCCCTTAGAAAATGATGAAGTAACTTAACTTTTATGCGAAACTATTAAATGTGGAAGTGTTGAATAAAAGAGTTACATATTTAATTTATTTTAAACTCAACTTCTGTCAATATCTAATTAGTTTAGCAGATTTTTGAGGAGGTTATGATTTTAATGACTTCTTGTGATGTGTTGGAGGGGAAATTATGTGGAAGACAACTTTTGAATTTTGTCTAAAATGATGATTTAAGAAGAAACGGGCAGACTAGAAGGGGAGAAAAGTCACAATGGCAAAGGTTTATAGATGTCGTAAAATTCATAGTTTCTTTGTGCTTTTTCACCCTAATCACTGTATTTCAAGATCTTGAAAGAGGTCCAAAAACTGAGTTTGTTCCTACAATTTCAGCTCATCTTTGTGGAGAAGGTTGGAGTCATGTTGGAGATGTCTGCCTCCGGATCAACACAAGTCGAGAAAACTATGATAACGCAAAACTTTATTGCTACAATCTGAGTGGCAATCTTGCCTCTCTTACCACGTCTAAAGAAGTTGAATTTGTTCTAGATGAGCTACACAAATATACAGTTCAGGTATTTCAGATTAAGTAGTTTTTTTTATTCCAACTTCAGCAATTTTGCATGTTTGGAGATTGTACAGTACGAAACATGAACGATAGTAAGTGAGTTATTAAACTGCTGTATCTTGGGGACACCAACATGGCGAAATGTGATTTAAAGACCTATCTTCAGTTGATCATCTTGAGAGCACAGAATCCAGTTTGTTTAGATGTACTGGAGTATATAATGGGGAACTATAACACATAATACTTTGGCTAATCATTTATAACACATCTGTTTCCAACCCAACTGCCTGTGGACAGTGATATTTTATTTCACAGCATTAAGTTCTGACGTAATGTTGTGACACTAAGATATTTTTGGCTGTTTTCACTTCAGAATGTCTAATATGATTCCTTTAAAATTAATGGGTTATTGCCATTCTATCTTGATTATATGAACTACTTGATGCTGTCAATTAGTGCCTTAAAGGATGTTATTTAAAATTTAAAAATTAAAATTTAATTTCACAATTTAAAAATTAAAGACAATCCTGATAAATATATATTATTTATATATAGAGGCATGTGAATTTTACTCATTAAAATTGCATTTCTTAATACCTGGCTGGGGAAAAATGATATTCTCCAATGCAGTACTACATTGATGCAGAAAAAACATTTATGATGAGAGCCAATTAATCTATATCTACTGCTGTAAATCTGGCATAGCTGGACTTCTTTTTGTCACGTGAAATCATAGCTGAAAGTAAAGACTGCAAATTTGGTAGCGAACTTTATTATTTGGAGTTGTGAAGCTAAATTATCATTTGTTGTATGAATGTATGATGAAAATAGGAGTTAGGACTGAAGCAGTTCAGTGAATTTAATACCTCCAGTGTGTTTAAAACAGTTCAAAGGATAGTTTACCCCACTTGGTATGAAATAGAGGTAGTTCACATTATATAATAGAATATTAATGCTCTTGAAATAAATATCCTCCAGCTTGCTATGTGAATAAAATGCAAAAAGAATGTGTTATACACACTGTTTCAACTTATTTGCTTGGTGGAGTAGATGGATTTATTTTCAAAGTCAGTAGCTACTCACACCATAGACTTTAATATCCAGGCATGTAGATCTAATTCAAATTCCTGTTTTCCCAGTGGTGGACTTGGTTCCTGCATGGTAGTGTACCTAGAGATCTCTTTAGGAATTTAGTCTTGCCTATCTTTGTTGCAATTCAAAATGAATGGCAGGTAGGCAGTGGTCTTGTATCTGCAACATCTACATTAACAGTCAGGTGTTCAATTGCTTGAGTTTTCAAGACAATTCAGGAACTTACTTATTTTTCATCTGCCTGATAGGTTTATGAAGAAGCGTCATTGAACCTCATCATTAATGTGACTATCATACTCTAAAATTGTATTTTTTATGATATTATTCCTGTCTGTTATTTAGAGACAGTGACCAGTAGTTTAGCAAACTTGCAGACTGCCTGCAGAAATTTGTCACTATCCTCTGCCTGCTGCATGCTGATATGCATGTTGTAGTTCTCACCAATGAATCCACCACAAATCCAATACGAACAGAAACTGGGGTCTTTCATTGTACCAACACTCTTCTCCATCTTTCTCATCATAGCATTCTACCCCATATCCATTGAGGCCCTTGGTGGAGTGTGGTCTTTCTACAGGATGAGTGGGACACTGTATAACTTGTGTTGCTTCCAATCCCAAATTAAGACAACTGTGATTTCTGATATTGAGCTGCTGTTTTCAGATAATACTTGTGTACATACTTAGAGGCTGAGCTCCAAGCCATCATCTATGCATCCAGAGAGGCATATGAAAGAAATGGACCTTAGGCAACATATCCTGTACCAGACAGTTCTTGCTGTGCAGCACTTCACACGAAATATCAAGATCCACAGTAAGCCTCTGAGTAAAGTGGACTTTCTTTCTATGGATTGTCATTTTGCTACAGTGGGTGGCTTGAGTGTTCTGTTGAGCCTGAGAGAAATACTGTCACACCAGGTGCCACTGAGGCACAGTGGGGAAAGACCACTGTCTGAGGTCTTTCGGCTGAAATTAAATGGGGGTCTGTTCGGTTATCAGATCCTCCTAGTGCCTCAAATGCATGTAAATATAGTCTTGTGTGTGTAAAAGATGTCTTTGGTTTATTTAGATAAAGCCAAACTCCAATGTTTGTTTCCTTAATATGCTACTGTACGAAACCATTTATGACTATGTGTATTGTTGTAGGGAGAAGTATCAAAGAGGAGTCTTCCATCCTGTGTTCCTTAGTATGAGTGACCTTTATTCAGAGCTCAATTACCACATATGTGGGAGAGACCAGAGACCATTCTAAATCTGGCCTTCACGTGGGTCGCAGTTGCCTTCTTAATAGACAGCTCAGATTGGAGGGCAATGAAGCTCTGACTTCCCCAGCGAAATAGACCATTTTTATACCCTTTGTATTAGAATAATTACTTGCAACATTGATGTCATTGTTAGCCACAATCCCCTAATCTATACATTCAATCCAGTAAACACACAATCAATGATGGACAGCCATCTATGGATAGTCCTACGTCCTACCATAATTTCATGATATTTATGAGATAACTCCAGTATCTGTCTTTGGGATCTTCGAATGCATCTGATAGTTTTATTCCTTCCCAGAAATTTGCCAGCTGTAATGCATTTTTCACCAATAACCTAAATAGTTGCTTTTCACTAAAATGGCTTCCGAATTCTGTACTACTTTCGTATGGCAGATAAGAATATTAATTTCTACTAATTGTTATGAAGTGTTTGAAATCAGTTCTAATGTAAGGTTACTGTGACACAGCTGAAAAATTGTGAACAACTCTCTCATTAGCCTGAGAGATCAAACAACAGTCCCTCTGACTTACAACTGCAGTTTACGATCCCTGCTATTTACATGTGTAAGTGGATTTTAAACTGAAGTTTCGTGTTTAAGTAAAATTTTACTATGTTCACTCTGAACAGTTTCCATTATTAATGATCTTTTCTTAATAAAAAGCATCTGTTTGAACTCCCCTGATGAGGGTGAAATGCAATCACTTTACAACTCTACCAAGCCATTAAATAAAGCTTGTTCAGATTCCACAAACAGCTCGGGGACAGCCACATCTTCATTCTTTATTTTGTAATATGCCTTTGTTGCTCTTCCCTTGATCTTTAGATGTAATGATGTGGAGGTGCCGGCGTTGGATTGGGGAGAACAAGGTTAAAAAATCACATGACACCAGGTTACAGTCCAACAGGTTTATTTGAAGATACAAGCTTTCAGAGTCTTCCTCCTCCTTCAGGTCTCAGTGAGACAGGTGGCATCAGGCGCAGAATTTATAAGCAAAAGATCAAAGGGTCATACAACTGATGCGAATGTGTTGAAAAAACCTAAGATGACTGTTAAATCTTTAATCAGATAGAAAGTATTAACATGCAAATTTCAGAATTTCGTTCAAATCACTGCTCCAAGTTAACTAAAGGTTTATCAATTCCCTCAGCGTACCAGAGGTGACATCCTGGTCAGGCAATGCATTTTAGGTGGAGGCCTTGTTTAGAATCTGGCTATGTATTAACTTGGAGTCAGACTGGTTTTATTTCCAAAGTAGAAATTTATAAAATGCCACAGTGACTGTCTAACAATTGTATGGTTTTTGAATAAAATAGAATGTATCTACAAATACAGATTCAGCCCATAGATCTGTGTGTGTGTGTGTGAGAGAGAAAGAGAGAGGCTGAGTCAGTGTGTGTGCACGTGCATGCGCGCTTGAGAGAGGGTCTATGTGAGTGTGTTTGTATGTGTGTGTGTGTGTGTGTGTGTGTGTGTGTGTGTGTGTGGGTGAGGTCACCTGTAGTGCGACATGAGCCCCAAGATCCTGATTGAGGCCGTTCTCATGGGTACCGAACTTGGCTGTCAGCTCTGCTTGGCACCTCTGCATTGTTGTGTATCCCGAAGTCTGCCTTGGGGATTGTTTCCCCGAAGATCTGAGGCCGAATGTCCTTGACAACTGAAGTGTTCCCCACTCGGAGGGAACATTCATGTCTGGTGATTGTTACACGGTGTCCATTCATCCATTGTCATAGCGTCTGCATGGTTTCGCCAATATACCATGCCTCAGGGCATCCTTACCTGCAGCGTATGAGATAGGCAATGTTGGCTGAGTCACATGAGTATCTGCCATGCATGTGGTGGGTGGTGTTCCCACATGTGGTGGTCGCATCCATGTCGATGATCTGACATGTCTTGCAGAGGTAGTCATGACAGGGTGTATAATGTTGTGGTCGATGTTGTCCTGAAGGCCGAGTAGGTTTGGTGGTTGTTTGAAGGCGAGAAGTGGAGGCGTAGGGAAGATCTTGGTGAGATGCTAATTGTCATTGATAATGTTTTGAAGGCTGCGAAGAACAAGGCGTAGTTTCTCCGCTCCCAGGAAGTACTGGACGACGAAGGGTACCCTGTCAGTCGTATCCCGTATCTGTCTTCTGAGGTGGTCATTAGAGTTTTTTGCTGCGGCCCTTCAGCGTCCAGTACTTCCCGGGAGCGGAAAAATTACGCCATGCTCTTCGCAACCTTCAACACATTGTCAATGATAATTAGCATCTCGCCAAGATCTTCCCTATGCCTCCATTTCTCGCCTTCAAACAACCACCAAACCTTAAACTGACCATTGTTTGCAGCAAACTACCAAGCCTTCTGGACAACATCGACCACAACACTATACAACCCTGTCATGGCTACCTCTGCAAGACATGTCAGATCATCGACATGGATGCTACCACCACCCACCACGTGCATGGCAGATACTCATGTGACTCAGCCAACATTGCCTATATCATACGCTCAGATCTTCGGGTAAACGACCTCCAAGGCAGACTTCGGGATATACAACAACTCAGAGTTGCTGACCAGAGGCTGATAGCCAAGCTTGGTACCCATGAGAACGGCTGAACTGGGATCTTGGGTTCGTGTCACAACATAGGTGACCCCACCACGCTATACATG